CCATTTTTAAATAAAGAATACGAGATTGTATTTTTTTGTGTCAATCGTATAACTAAATATGAGGATACATTTATCTGCAAAGAAATGCAAAAGATTATGCGGCCAACATTTGTCAATTAATGTGTAAGTGTAACATCTTATATAAATTTATCTTACTTTGAAAAATGTTCGTATAGAATTGTAGAAAATATAAGTTGTCGTACCATTTTCATATAGTTAATAGCATTATTTTTAAATGTGCTGGTATTAAGTATTTACCGTCGGCACAAAACTAAATTCTGTTCTGTTCTGGTCTATCTGTGTTAAGATGATAATATAATGAACCGAAAGCTGATAGACAAATGTATGAATTTAAAAACAGCTTTGAAAAGAAATGTTTATAAAATATTTCTGATTCTGGCTTAATAATCAGTTTTTAAATATGTATTATTAGAATTATTACATTTTGTGATTTATTTTCGAAATAAAAATCAATGATTTACGTTACAAGAGTAACATTAGAATTAGGAAGCAGCGTAGTAAATTTGACAATAAAGTGGCAATAACTTTGCTTTTAACCAGATTACAAAATTGACTTTTTTTTCTGTTTATAGGTACAACCTAGGGGCTGTAATTTATTCGTAGATGTTATACGATTACAAATAATTACTTTGTTAAGAAATATTAGTTCGTGGTAACAAAATTACGTTCAAGTTATGTTCTAAGTTTAAAACCACTTTTTGGTAAAAAAATAAATAAGTAGGTACTTAAATAAAAAATCCTTCAGGATAACGTCGGTTTGGATAAACAATAATTTCTTGCGTAAGTTGTTTCTAATGTCTCTTAATAACGTTTTCGGTATCTGTAGAAAATTTAACCATTTCTGTGGTTTCATTGCCAATGACATTAACATGATATTCATATTTAAGGACATAACCTGCCGCTGAATGGACCATGTCTTTAGCATATGTATTATTTAACATGAAATATTGGATACTAAGGTAACATCGACAACCAAAAGAGAACAATAATAATCAATATATCCAATTACGTAATGATCGCATGATATTTATCTATTAATTAATTATTAGTGACGGTATGATTTACATTTTACATGTACCTACTACCTCTCAGAGTAGTGTAGTCGGTAGTGTAGGTACAGTAACGATAGGTATTAAAATGAAGCTATTTAAAACAAAAAATGTACAGTGAGTGCTTTTGTTTATAGTCATATAGGTATCTAAAAACGTACTACAACATTACTAAAACATAGTTTAATTAGTTGCCGAGATATTAAAAAATTCTATATGTTGAGAAAGTATGATGTGTCGTTTTAACCGATCGTATTTCGTATGAGCTGAATTTTGTTAGTATTGGTTGTTGAATTATTTTCGATATAAAGCCTTGATGTGAATTTGAATAATTGAAAATATTTTCTTTTCTAATCATATGGTATACAAAAAATTTGTAAGCAATAAATTGAGAATTGATTTGGGACAAGGACAGTTCTTGTGGTATTTTCAGTAAGGGTTTGAGCCAATTTAACACATTTTGAACCGAGAAATGTTTGTTTTAGATCTGAAAGATGTTCCTTTGAACATCAAGTGAACTGGAACTGATGAATAGAGATACAAAGTCGCATATTCTAAAATCTGGTTGCAAAAATTCTATTAAAAACACAATTTCGATTTATTTAGCAATATAGTGTTTGCTTTTGTTAAAAATGCTAAGCAGACGCAAAGAAAATAATTAAAAGTCTGTTTTAAAAACAGAAAAAGTGCTTCGAATTTGTCACAGGAAGAAATGGAAAAAACAAGTTTTGGATAAGATAACATTCCTATGTATTTTATGTGTTAATCGGTCATAAACGAAACAAATCTATAGGTTATTTGAAAAATTGGACAGTACGAAGAAATGAGATCTCAAAATGGACAAGGCCTGCCTGAAGGAATACCGACGAACCGGATCAGCCTTTGAAACAAAAACCAAATGTCTAAATTTTATTCGTATGTAATTTAAATTTAAAATTAAATTTGTAGTTTTACTATTTGCTGTTTGTTGACTTTGCAATGAATTAGAGATTACGACAAAATTATAATTTTATATTTCAGCACCAGTTAGACTCTAACGTACAGTAAAATATAGTTTTTACAAAGTATGTTTAGTATATTTTTCAAATTATAATAATATGCTAATGTTTCTTGATTTTATCATAGATGTGAAAAAACAGGTAGAACATTATCAGGTTCAGTGCCCTTAAGGACTCTAAACTGGTTTTGTCTGGTAACACCCGTAGATGTCTCTACTTATAAAGTGATACTATAGTACTACTGTGTAACAGTCTTTTGTTATTGTAACTATTACAATACTAATTTGAATGAATTTCATAGTCGTTCAGATTCGTGTGAAATACCTACAAAACAATATGTTAAACATTTTTTTTCAGTATAAGTAACAAATTATGAGATTTTTAACTCAGTTCTGACTTTTTGAAAAGTAATTATCTGTTGTGTAAAAATCTTCAATTCTGACGAAGTGTTGAAATTTACTCAAAATATGTTACAATTACATACTCATCTTCATATATCGGGTGATTTTTTAAATTTCTGCTCTAGTTGGCCATGACGCTTACGTCAGCCGTTTCACTGCTGCGTTGCCAACGTACGTGTAATGGCCAATTAGAGCAGAAATTTAAAAAATTACACGGTATCAGTACTGTTATACGATGCAAAATAAACAATTTGGTGGTGCAAAAATGTAAAAAAGTTTCGTTGTGTTAGAAAAAGCTTTTCTAAAAATTAGTTGTAATTATTTAGTACCCACAGATGAATTTGTTTTCAATATACATTGTATATCCTTGTATTAACATTAGCTTTGCTGAAAAAATAGTAAAAAAGAATATCAAGTGCATTTTCTGGTGAGTTATTCAATTTTGATCATAAGCTTGTTTTAAAATTTTACTCAAAATTCTACTTAAATTTTAACGAATCTTATGAATAAAAACGTTACACGTAATTGTCTCTATAGGAAACGAATAAATAAATTTTAATGGATCTTCTGTAATTATTAACTGAATACTAACGTTTAGCAACAGATTAATAATAGTCCGTCATTAAAATTTCAAATAAATTGGTTATTTATAGACACAGTCTAAAATCAACTAAAATTTCACTCTGCAAATTTTACTTATTTTTTAGGAACATGGAATGTAAGTTTAAAAATATGATATTATGGCTAAAAAACAGATAAGTTTTTTGTAGATGGACAAACAAATTTTGGTTAGAGTTTTGACATGCACACTTAAAATGCAACAGCATCTAATCATTAATCAGTTAATTATTCCAGTAACGTCGGATATTATTTGTGTGATAAAATTATTAACCGACAAATGACGGACAAAAAGACGGCCCTACAGCTATAGAGATACACTCTATGAAACCAGACCTACAGACATTCGTCAAAAGGATGATATTTCAACACTTTCCTAACTATCACTGGGAAGGTAAAACGACAACAAAAGTTTCGTACAATAATTTCTTTATTAAATACTTATTTATCGCGAAATTACCATATACCTATATTTCTTCTTGTGTTAAATCCTGAATAAATAAGCGTGTGGAAGTGTTACACCTTTTTTACCAAAACAAAGTGTTTTGCAGTGTTTTGTTGTACAAAATAAGTGTACTCATAAATAAAAACTTCGATAATACCTGTCAGATTTTAAATGAATGTTATAAATTACCTCTCTTATTACTTTTTTTTTTGGTGAATGAGATCCCATGTTTCCTTTATAAGTTACAGCATCACATTTAGCTTTTTAAAAACTATAAATACTTTTATAGTCTAGATACCCATACCTGAAATTCGCAAACATGTGATAAACATATTGAATGTATTTTCTTGTAGTTCACATCTATTGCCTCTTTTTGAGTTCACAATGATTTCTCTTTTACCAATCCGCCTTCGTCTATCAATAGATAATCTTTTAGATTAGGTAATTTGTGATGCTGGCCAACTCAATTATCTCCATGTTCATCGTAATGGAGCTTGCTGGTTCTATGTGATGGAGAGTCCGGAATCTCACGGTCTTGGACCGGATCGCGAGGCGGAGCCAACCGAGTAATAACCCGCGGATGGTATAAGTGACGTCATTATCACAATGGCTGATCATCAGATATACCTGTATTTGAATATCTATTTATTAAATTCTATATGTACTCGTATATGTACAGTGTACTTACACCATTTTCAATTAATTTTTTTCACGTATCTGTCATAAGTGAATTAATGGTGACTGGAATTACCTACAGGGCAATACTTTAGGTACTTATACGTACACTGTAAAAAATGCATGTAAGAATACATTATTTACAAAGTAATTTTACATATTTAGTTTATGTGATCTTACAGTACAGTGTAAATTAACTCAATGATAACAGTAAAATTACATATTCATGTACATTTCTCTCTAAACTGTAAAAATACATAAGCAACAAGAGTATAATTACAATATTAAAAGTACATTTACACATAATACTAATTTTACAAGTTATGCATGTAAAAGTGCTCGTTTATCTAGGTGAAAACACATTTTTTATGAACAGAATTTTGGTTTTACCTTGATCATTTCTATTATTTTTACAAATAAAATAATGTACCTAAAGTTTTAGTTCAAGTGCTATGACAACTATTTATTGAAAACAGAATTTTTTATAAACATCAGGATTGTAATTGTGAGTGTATAGAGTATGTATAATTTTCAAATAATAATTGTTTGTTAATGAGTAAAGTTATCACTTACTTTTCTGTGACTCATAAAATTAAAGTGATGGCAAAAAAACTGAACGCTTAATTGTTTGTAAAATATGAAATAATTTCTATAGAAATTTCAAAATTATAACTAGGTAAAGAAGTAAGCTTTGATTTGCTAATTTTTTTAATTATAAGTTTATATTTTTTGGTTGAAGTTAAGACATAATCAATTTTTTAAATGGATTTTTTTTTTGCATTAAATAGATAAAGATGAACAGTAGCGTAAAATTTAAACATTAACAATACATGTAACAAAAAAACGAAAAATAAGAATCCCAATTTAGCAACAGTTCGAATCGCGCGCTTTATAATGCAATCGCATGCAATTCTCTCACTCTCCCACTGTTTCATTTTCCCTCGCATTTTCCCAATCTACACGTGGTGAGCAGAGCAGTTTTGTTTTGTTGTCGAACTTTTGATTTACCGCTCTATTATGTTGATTGACAGTATTTCTAGTGAGATAGTTCCTACAAGTTTGTGATTTAAATAGGGTGAAGCGGTGGGTTTGTTTTGCTGCGTAATTTCAACGGAGTTGACCGATAACCGGTAAGTATTTAACCTCTTCAAGTTTGCATGCAGTTTAAAACGTACAGGTGATTTTTGCAGTTCGTTTGATTCGAAGAAGTTGAATTTAAATAATGATGAATTACGAGTGTTTGATGTGCCCTTATAAGACGTCGGCATTATTAAGTTACAACGGACATCAATATTTGCATCGTAACGAAAGAGTTTGCAGATTTAGATGTGTGTATGAAGGCTGTATTAATGAATTTGCTAAATACAACAATTTTAAGTCACACATTTTCCGCGCACACTCGCGTCAGCAGGCGCGCGTTACAAATCAGCCTCATCCACGTTTTAAATGTAATGAAGAAATGTGCAGGTTTGAATGTATTGCCTTGAAAGACTTGTCATCTCACATGTATGAACATATTAGGTCAGGATGTGTTGTTAGATGTCCCCTCTTGAGTTGTAATAGTGTAGAAACGTTGTATAGAAAAATTCCTCAATTTAAATCTCACATATATCGTAAACATTCTTTGAAATCAAATGATGAACTTGTGATAAACAACGATCATGATAGTTTTCATGACTTCAATGTTCCTGCTGTTAATTTATCAGCTAGCCCATTTCGGGGAGACTGTAGTGAGGCGGTTACATACAATAATATTCTGCAAGAAAATAATGAATGTAATTCTTACCTAATGTCATTAGCTTCTTTGTATTTGACACTACAAACGAAACATTTTTTAACAGATATTGGATTACAAACTATAATTGAGTCTCTATTAGATCTTAGTCAAATTTCAGCTGCATCCCTTGCTACAAACCTTTCTCAAATTGGTTTATCTTTACCGGAAAATTTTCTTCAAAATAATAACTTATTTGAAAAATTTCATAAAACAGGCAGTGGCCCCCTTAGAACTTCCTATTCTAGAAAACAGTTCTATAAAAGACATTTTAATTACATTGAGCCACTATGTTTAGAATTTAGGGACAATGACAGTTGGTCAAAAATCTATTACATACCAATTTTAGACACGATAAAATATTTAATGACAAATGATGCTGTTTATAAGCATTGGTCACAAGATACAAACGAAATAAACAAAAAGTTGAATATTATTAGCGATATAGTGGACGGAAAAGTTTATCAAAGTAACCATTTTTTCACTGAAAATTCAAAAGCATTACGTCTCATATTGTATCAAGATGCTTTTGAGGTTTGCAACCCTTTGGGCTCTTCAAAAAAAATCCATAAGGTAATTGCTGTGTATATGGTATTAGCTAATATACCTGCCTATTTGAGGTGTCAGGTTGATCATATACAGCTAGTAGCTTTAGGTTTGGAATCAGATATAATGAAATATGGATTTTCAAATATGTTTAGTGCTATAATTAAAGATATTAAAATTTTAGAAACTGAAGGAATAGTTATTAACACTGATACAAAGGAAACTGTTAAAGGTTCTTTAATTGCGATGACTGGCGATAATCTTGGAAGCCATCACATAGGAGGCTTTACATGTAATTTTTCTACAAGTGAATATTTTTGTCGCTATTGTCACATTACAAAAACCGAATTTGAAAATAACGTTCTAAAAATTTCCACAACTAGATCTAAATATTCCTATGACTTAGATGTTGATTTGACTCATTTAACGAATGAAACTTCCAGAGGAATTAAATTTAACTCAGTCTTAAATGAATTGCAACATTTTCATGTTTGTCAACCTGGTCTACCACCATGTGTAGGACATGACTTATTTGAAGGGGTCGTGCAATATGATCTTATGCTAGCAATTGATTATTTTGTTTCAAAAAAATTTTTTACTTACGAAACTCTCAACTGCCATTTACATGACTTTAAATTTATTAATGAATCCAAATTCGAAAAAATACCCAAAATTAAAAAAGGCGACAAATTACCAGGCAGTGCGAGTGAAAATATGCGGCTTTTGTTTATTCTACCATTAGTTATTTATGACTTAGTTGATAGTTTGGATAAAGTATGGAGGCTTGTACTTATTTTACGCCAGATATGTAGTCTTGTAATGTCTTTTGAAATTTCAGTGAGCCAGGTGGCATACTTGAAATCATTAATTTTTGAGTATATCAGCTTGCGTCAACAACTATTTTCAAGTACTAATTTAAGGCCAAAGCATCACTTTATGCTTCACTATCCCCATTTGATCATTCAGTATGGTCCATTGCGTCACTTGTGGACGCTTCGTTTCGAATCTAAGCATAGATTTTTCAAAAATATTATACGTCATAGTACGAATTATAAAAATATTTTGCATTCGTTTTCTGAGAAGCATCAATTACTTCAAGCAGTACTTGCCTCAAAAAAAATCACATTCAATGATAAAGTAATAGCCGATAATGTTACTACATACAATTGTAAAGATTATCCAGAACATGTGTCATCTGTTATTAGAGATAATTGTTTATTTGAACACCCTTTTATAACTAATAAAGTATTTTTTAGAGGCATCGAATACATAGACGGAATGTGTATTTGCTATGGTTGTGATGTTCAATATGGACATTTTTCATTATGTGAAATAATGTATATGCTTGTTGATCAAGCATATTCAAATATTTACTTTGTTGGTAAAAAATTAGAAATTGTAGAAAATTTTGATAATGGCGCATTTGTTGTACAAAAAAGGTATGATGATACAGATTGCGCGTGTATTCATTATTCGAAAATAACACCTAAAGAAGCTTTGCTGCAGTTTGTAACATCATCAGGTGATAAGTCTAAATTTTTTTGTTTTAAAACAAATCCTGCTATCCAGATGTAAAGACATTGTTTCTTTGCTATATTGGCTTATCTCTAGTTCTGTAGAAGTTTAAAAAAACTTACATACATACTTAGATCCAGTGTAAAGTAACGTTATGCGTACAACGTTATTATGAAATAATTTTTATTATAATACATGTTTTTATGATTAAATTTTAACTTCAAAATTTATCTTTAAAAATTAAAATAACGTGTAACTGCATATTTCATGTTTGTTATTATATTGTTGTGAATAATAAAAAAAAAATACATAAGCTGCTGTTATTATTCCTAATTTTTGGTCTAAATTTTAGTAAACAAAAATGTTTGCGTTCAAAATTTGGAACGTATCACGAACCAAAAAGGTATTCGTGGTCATTGAAGAAGACGAGCAGATGTTATTAGTACTGGTAGCCAAAGGTAAGGGCAGTTATTCAAATAACTGTGTTTTGAAAATTCATTGTAGCCTCAGAAAAACTACAAATTGATGGAAGCACATTAGTGTTAGAAACAGATGGGACTGTAATAGATGACGAAACAGTGTTGAAAATGGTCGAAAAGGAAGTTTTAATTTTGCTGACAAAAGAGGAGTGCTGGGTGTCTGCTGATGTGGCACTGGCAAGTGCAAGTTTTATATCTCAGGCTTCTACTGTAACTATTAGCTCATCCTCATCCTCGTCGCATGAATTGAGTCCGTTTGAAACAGAAGAGAATAAAACGTGGGTTGACTTTGAAATTCCATGGAAATGCTTACCAAAATCAGTAATTCGGGAATGCGAAGAAGGCTTTAAAACAGGAGATTGCCGAAGCAAAGTTATCAACATGATTGCTGATAATGTCCGTGAATTTACCAAACATGCGGAAATAGATAAATTTCGTGCTATAGCAAAGCAAATTGTAGCAAAGTATCCGAAACAATTTGCGGACGTTGATGACGACGGTATCGTTATAGGAGATGGGAATCATACAATTTTGAAAAGATTGGTAGATCGTAACAATTACTTAAACCGACCTCACAAAAGATCACCGAATGCAACATATGTAACAGATATACCTTTAGGAAAAAGAAGAAAAATGTTGAGCAAAAAAGCAGGTAAATTCTAAATTTATCTATAACTATTGCGAAACTAAGAAACTATGTTTTATATTTAGTACTTTGAACACAGCCACCATTTTACTGTGTTCTGTTTGTTACTTTTCTACATAATTTAACACCAAACAAAAAGATAATTACAAAGATTTCTCCATACTAATTTTCTTCTTTACTGCAATTGATCGTTTCATTTTCAATAAACATTTCTTTTCATCAAATAAGCCATTTGCATTAATTTTTAGAAAGAATAAGCATAACATTCTGACAAGACGTTTCACCACACATTTATTAATGCTTTTTTAGGTTGTTCCAACTGGCAACCGGAAATCGAAACAAAATCTCCCGAATCACTGGAGGAAAAAAAGAATACACTTAATGCGTTGCACAATGCTTTTCTTAACAACGTCACGTTAGATTTAGAAACTACAACTCTTCTAAATGAGACATACAATATGCAACGTTTATTCCTGAATAAATGTGATGCTCCCACCATAGAAGAAATTGTTACAGAGTGGCCAGTTTTACTTACAACACCAGTTACCTTTTGGCATTTCGAGAAATTAACTTCTAAAAATATAAACGTATTGGAAGAGCAATTTACCCATAAAGCTCCCAAGATATTACAGCTTGGTCAACAAAATAAAATAAAGCTAACGTGTGAAAATTCCTACCTGCAATGTCTGGAAATCATAGCCAAGTATTTTAATGAAGACTTGAAAATTTTGGTTGATGAGCAGGACAAGGTTTATACTTCAGTCATATATATATTTTTTTATATATTTCTCTTTTATTTTAGCGTAATCAAACAGTCACCTGCAACGAACCTTGCATTAGAAGTAACCAAGAAGGTAGGTATAAACCTTGTGACAATTTTAAATGTTATATTGTTACTGTTTTAATTCTAGATGACGAAAACAGGTATTTCATTTATATTGAAAAGAAGAAAGTTGCAGAAAGTACTGATTTTATAACTGCCTTCAAACTAGTATTTTCGTTCTACTATAACTTGAATATGTGCTATCCTAAACAAATATCACATACACTACAGTTTGTACAAATGTATTTTTTTAAAATGTACCCAGAAATTGGCACCAAGAGCAAGAAAAAAACTATTACTAAAGTAGTATCTTTAATGAACAAATTGAAAAAGATCTAGGATACTATAATATGCATGCGTCGAACTTAGTATCTATATTTGTGAAAATTGGTGGACTCCATATAACTATGTTAGAGTATTGTTCAATTGCAATTATGTTATCCTTTTTTTTATTCTTCTGTATTTCGTTTTTATTTGTTTTGTTTATGTATATATTTTTATTATACATACATTTATTCGTCGTGTGTAGTTTCTATTTTGAGTTTCCTAGAACCTATATTAATTTATAAAGTTTCAGAAACAAAACGTAATTATACAGACTGGCTGTGGAAATGTACATATTTCAGATGTAAAAGTACAATCGTATTCTGTAAAAGTACAGGCATGTTCTGTAAAATTACAGTTGCAGATAGTTGCTTTACAAAACGTTTTGTAAAGTTACATTTACGCATAATATTTTTACATTTATGATCTGTATTTTTACATTCACAAGATGTGCTAGTACACGAGTAATATGTAATATTTTATGAAGACAATGTATTTTTACACAGCACTGGATTTTTACACGGAAAAAAGTTGGTTACAAAGTTGCCTACTATTTTCCGTGTAATTTTACATATATTTTTTTTACAGTGTAGCAAAAAATTATATAAAAATAGGACTGATGATATGAAAATGTAACTTCATTAGGTATGCATTCGTGAAATAAAAAGCGTTTTAAACATCAAACTTTATTACGAAAGTTCATTAACGAAAACCATAGAAAGATTTCAAGTTGTGTATTATCCTTTTCGTTAATCTATATAAGTTGATACATATATTTTACTTTTATAAAACTGGTAGACCAACCAACTCGAGGTTGAAAATTTTTATTAGGCTAACATGTTTTGGTACCATCATCAGAGCTAAAGAAATGACAATAAAATTTGGAAAAACCTGTCATTTATTGGGTTCTGATGATGGTACCAGTAGATATCGAAACATGTTAGCTAGTTTACTGTACTAAAAAAATTTCAACTTTGTGCCATTAACTTGATTTTTCAACTATTTTTATGTAATATTAAACCTGGCCACTTTGAGAAAAATATCGGAAATAAATTAACTAAGTATTTGATATATTTTGTTTGAATTGAAAATTCTTTTTGTAGGTGAGATAAAATTAAAAACTAAAATTTTATAACGTCAAATTTATTATGAATCCAAAAACAAGCGATCCTTTTCGTTCCGGTTTCAAAATAGGGACTAAAAATGACTCTTGATATTTTAAACATTTTGTTAGAATTGTAAAAACGATGTGAATTGATATTAAAGATAAGAAGTTCCCTCCATTCGGTTTTGTAAGGCTATTTAATAGTATTTAAGAACTAAATTAACAGACCAGAAGATTGAACATTGTCAAGAACCAAACTGTAATAGAAATGACTATTGAACAGGCTATAAAGTGTTTACACACGTGCTACTACGTACTAAATAATTGCTGGATGGCATTTACGCCAGTTTTGTTGATATTTAATTGTAGAATTTTGGTTCAAGTTGTATTAATACGAGTAAATCGAATTTTTATTTTCCCAACTGCAATAGGTTTTTTCCGAAAAAATACTTATGTAACATACTACATTTTTGTACGAACATTTAGGTAACTAATCAAAAGATGTATACGAATTCAAAAGAAAAAAAACGGGACGGCAGACAGACGGACAGACCGACAGTCAGACAGACGGAAACGGGAGACCCATTTCTACGTATTCTAGGGGTCATGAAAGGTCGAGAAAATGTAAAAGTAAAGAGTCAGCCGACGGACTTCATTAGAATACTTCCTAATATTTTGTCTTTTTTTTTTCTTAATATAAGTAGGTATATAGCCATCTTTTCATAACAAGAAACTTAAAACATGGTTAAAATGGTTTAGGCAAGGAAATATGGGTTTTGCATTAATGGGGCGGAGCTTAATTGCAAAATCGATATTTCCTTATAGGTACAACAAATTTTCCATTTTAAACATGTTTTAGGTTTCATGTTGTGAAAAAAAGTCTACACATATTAAAACAAAAAGGCAAAATGTAAAACCAACCAACTGGCCTATTTCAATTACTTATTTCTTTACAAGAAATTAAGAATCCTATGTATATTAAGATAAAAGGCAAAATCCCAATTGCGACAATTTTTTTATTTTTAGAAACTAGAAATTTTTGTAAGGAAATATGGCTTTTGCAATTAGGCTCCACCCCTCGGTATGCCAACGAATGAAAACTTCATTACTATTTAGATCAGGACAGTTATGTGTGGGGCTTAATCTTTGGCTTTAATTTTTTCTTTTGTTTGAATAACACGATACTCAAAAAAATGTCTACATGCTAATTTCTTGTAGAAAGAGAAATAATAAGAATTTTGCATTTAAATTCCGCCCCTTTGGCTCTTGATTATTATAAAAAAATCATCATAATGGAGATAACGCGGGTGGGCGGGGCTTATATAAAAAAAACTTAAAACATCTTTAAAATGATAAATTCTTCTAGACAAATATCGATCTGACAACGAATGAAAAATTCATCACAATTGAGAGTTGAGATCGGGGTTGGTATGGGTGGGGTCTAATCTTCGGTTTTATTTTTTTCTTAATAGGTATTCTTTGAACAACACGATACTCAAAAACATGTTTTTAATTTCTCGTGGAGAAATAAGGATTTTGCAATTAAGCTCCGTCCCCTTGGTTCACGACCAATAAAAAAAAATCATCACAATTGAGACTGGGGCGGGTGGGCCGCCCTACATTTTGCCTTTTTTTCTTAGTATGTGTAGACTTACTTTGACAACAAGAAACTTATAAACATGCCTAAATGGTAAATTTTTGTAGTAATCAACTTAAATCCTCCACTTTTCTTCTAAAACCCCTTTAAATACGGCAAAAGTTGAACATCAAAGTTACTATCAACGGCAACTTGGCAACGGAGTTTATAAATGACAATTTTCTGCTCTAAAAGCAACGTCAGCCGGAACAGCAACTGCAACGGTAGGTTTATAGGGTAAATGTGTACAAGAGTGCGAATATGTATAAGAGTACGCACTGCTGATTTCTGTTTATTAGTGCCATCTGGGTAAGATGAAGTTATACCATTCAGAATTTAATGCTAAACCTGAGATAAAGGTGCAAAAGTGACCTGAATATAGTTTATAGTTTGGTCGTACTGACGAATTTATGTTCACACGTTGTGTGGATGTAATTTTTACCGCTCATAGTTTTAGTTTTTTGTAAGGTACGTACCAATTCTTTTATGTTACAGTAATAATTTTCATTAGTTGTAACTTTTAAGGTCTCGTTATACACTAACAGTTTTATACTTTCTATCCATCAAAAGCTTTTAACTTTGAAAACATTAGGTTATGTACAAATGTACAAGAGTGCGCAGCGAGGTATTGTATAAGAGTGCGAATTGCTTGCAATACGTAGTCTAATAGTCTTGGAGATACATATCATAAGATAATGAATTATTTAACTCTACTATTTTGTACTGCTTTTCAAGTTGTGTGGTGGTGGTTATGGTGATTTTTTTTTTATTATTACTTCCTGAGCGTGTTGTAATCGAGTCCGTCGACCGACTCTCTATTTTTACGTTTTCTCGACTTTTCAAGACCCCTAGAGTACGAAGAAATAGGTCTCCCGTTTTATGTGTAGTCTGTAGTCATTTATTCCCATTTATTTTCACCTTAGAAACAAATATTTTTTCATAAAATGTAATGCGTACTCATAAGCGTTCAAATGCGCACTCTTGTGCAATGAACTGTCTAAGAGTGCGCATTTACACATCTTGACAAAAATTGAAATTACTCTTAAAATATAGTGGTGTTGGGACGTACAATTAAATATATCTGATCTCTAAACATGTATATAACGAACCTATATCATAAAATTTGTCTATCCAAATAAATTAAAAAGTTGTTGACAGTTTTACACTAAGTGCGTACTCTTGTACACATTTACCCTAAATCCCACTGCTAACGTCATCAAAAAAAGATGTTCATGGAATAGTTCCAAATCAGACAAAAATCTACGATGAATTTTCTGTAGACGACATAATTTTGGAAATTTTAAGACTGAAACGTCACTTGTAAGCCGTCAGCATTTCTTCCCAAGAAGTAGTTCAGTGAACTGCATTGGAGCTTTTCAGATTCAACGTAAAATGGGGTTATTCTGACTCTGTTCCGAGTCTAGCGCTTTGTCTAAGATTTTTTTAACCATTTGTTTCGGTGACTTCATTTGAAAGAAGCTTTTCAAAATTGAAATTGATGCAATCCTGTGTAAGGTCCACAATAAGCTAAGCGCGACTAAACAATCTTTCCATTTTATCAATTGAAAAAGAGAGAGAAGTAAATTTTGATAACGTCACAGAATATTTTGCCAAAATAAAGACCCTCCATTCGACCGGTGGGCTTGATTACTATACTTCCTTAGCCTTACTCTTGGGAAGTAAAAATCGACATTTTCTTCACAAATAGGACAAAAAAGGTCTTCATTCTTCGTTTTTCGTATTTTGTTGTATTTTTAATATGCATGCCGGATATCTTAGGGTTAGATCTACATAAAGGTTAACAATATCTTTTAAAAATATTGCTTCTAAATAGTCATATGGGATAGGGGGCGAAACTATGCAGGCATGGGTATAAGGGCATTTACTTTTAAAAAATAGTATAAAGAACGTTCACTTCAGTGTTAGCCAGAAAAGTAGCTGAGGTTCTACGAAATGAGGGTTCTGTATATTTATCTGAATTTTCCAGTTTAAAAAATTTTGCTATCTCCGAAGGAATTCTTGCAAAAATGTTCTTACCAACAAGTTTATTTACACATTTTCCATTTTAATATCGCAGAACGAATCTTAATTTTTAAAGATTAATCTATTTTCTCAATAAATGTACACAACTGAAATTTTCATGGTCAATGTTAACAATTGTAAAGCTTCATCGAAGATAGTTTTTTGAATCTGGTATTTTCACATGGAAGAATTTTTTCTTGTCTATAACATTATCTATCGTTATTTTGCACAATTCATCTTTACGGCATGCACCCGCTATTCTCATTACTGTTACCACCTTCACAAATAAAGAAATAATTACCTACCTTTTTCATCAGGTAAGTATGGT